CTTAAAATAAATGCAATATTTTCACTCACACAAAGAAACATTATCATATCAACACTCGGTACAAAAAATAACAATATTATACACAAACACTTGAACCTAATCCAAAAATGTACAACACACATTTTTTAGTAGAGTGAAATTACTTCCATAAAAAAAATAACAAGTCATAAAATTCACTTATAAATAATCACTTATAACACTTACCTTTCCGTAGTGATGTATTCTCCAGGTGTGTAGTAACTTAAACACTTAACTGTATCACTTAAGTATCACTACCACAATGAACCGTTCCAGTTGGCAGTTCAATGACACACTGAACAGGCGAGTCATTCACACACCTACACGCCATTACTCTGGGTTCTATATGTGCACACGTACACACACACACACACACACGTTGGACTGTACACGTGTCCATATAGATACACATGTACACCTACTCTCTACACTGTGTATTTAACTCATATTAACGTGATAATAACTGCAAGTGTCATAATCTTTCGTGTCTCTCGAAGCATCATAACCTTAGCCCCATACCATAAAGTCAACGCCAGCACGAGCAATCAGCAGTGTCTGGCGTTCCTCTTCACTATGCAATTACGTGTCAATTGGAATGTCACCTCACCTTCTACCTACAGTGGCGCTTATTTTATAGTTACAGAAGAAGACGAAAAGTTCAATTACTCCGAGACACTGGTTCGAATCCCAACCAAAGAACGTTATCTAGTTTTTCCACAAAGAACTGCAGTTATTAACCCACTCACGTTAATAAATATATACAGCACACAGTAATGCTAAATTTACTAAACCATAACAATCATATTACACTACATGTCATAAATACCTTCACTCGGTACCATAAAATAAAAGTACATATGGTACTCCATATAACAGTATCTCAACATTTACTACACATCGAACAATATACATAAGGATACATATTTATACATACACGTAAATATAACCAGATGATATACAGGTACAGGTATATTCATGTGTATATAGATTACTACAAGTCCACAAAGTCAACACCATCACTAGCATAACATAACACATCAAATAAGTGAAAAGTAAACAGCTTTAATAACACACATAATAACGTTAAGTAAACAACAACAACAATCACGCCAGCAACACCACATTGCGTAAGATTTGCGTCAGCACACCATTACGACACACGCAACACACGCAACACACACACGCGCGCGCAATGTTATGGATAAGTTATTAACATCTCACAAAAAGACTAATGCTGTTATCTTCTCTCTCAATTAAAAGAACAACACAACAGCATTATTAATGTTCCCTTCATCAAACTGGCATAAGAAGGTCCATAAGCTAGCAGGGGCTGTTGGCTATCACAGGAGCAGAGTAACACAGGAATGATGGTAGAGTCATATTCGGTATTAAAAAAATGGCCCCATAACCTTTTGGGGGGGGAACTGTGTGTGTGTGTGTGTGTGTGTGTGTGTGTGTGTGTGTGTGTGTAAAGACGTTTTTAGTGTGGGTCTATGAATCTCTATAAACATCTTTAAACACACACACACACACACACACACACACACACACACACCAACTTTAAACCCCTAACATAAACCCTCTACAACAAAACACACATAAACCAAGCGAACTAAAAGCAACAGAGGCGTCATGGGTTTAACAGCACCTAACTAAATTAAAACAGTAACATAAAACAAAACAATACGTCATTTCTTACCAAAGTAGCCAAGCGGGGACAGACAGAGAGACAGAAATCAAACAGAATGAGGACAGACAGGAGACGGTAAAAACACGAGACAGAAACGACAGGAAAATCATCATATTAGACAAAAAAATAAACACGACACAGTATAAAACGACGGGAATAAAGGACCAAAAAAAAGGGAGGAAAGTTGAAATAAAAAGAGAATAAAGGAATGTAATAAAGAAGTGAACAGGTGGGAAGTGGTAATAGGCAGAATTATTGGTATTATTCTTCGCCTCCGATGTGAAGAACAAGACTGAGGTTATCAAAGTCAGCGTCTGTCTGTCTGTCTGTCTGTCTGTCTCCTACACGAATCCTCTTTGGTAAATAAACTGATCCTCCAGCTTATCTCTTGACTAAGCTCCGCCCACTTTCAGCGTTCTTTAGCTGTGAATGAAACACGTCTTGAACCTAAAATATCCTGAGAGATTATCAAGCCCAGGGTCAACGGTCATAGTAAGAGAGCTTATAATAGCCACATAAAGATAGCAAAAGATCGGGGTCAAAATGTCGTAAAAATAAGATTAAAAATGTAAAATCTTTATGGTCATTTTTTCATAGGTCAAAAAAATTAATATCAAGTTCATATTTGTCATGGGTAAGGTCACAAGATCACAGGTGTCATGAAAGTGAGGTCACAAGATCACAGGTGTCATGAAAGCGAGGTCAATAGATCACAGGTGTCATGAAAGTGAGGTCACAAGATCACAGGTGTCATGAAAGCGAGGTCAAAAGGTCACAGGTGTCATGAAAGTGAGGTCAAAAGGTCACAGGTGTCATGAAAGTGAGGTCAATAGATCACAGGTGTCATGAAAGTGAGGTCAAAAGGTCACAGGTGTCACAGTGCTAGCTGATGACACCTTATGCCTCTCGGATGACAGACTTTGATGCCACTGAAGGAGGGGGGGGGGCATGCCATACCTTCTTGACGATGACTTGGTGGTGGGGGTGGAGGGGGGGGGGATGACACTAACATAGGTACTACTGTAGGGGTTCAAGTATGATGGTGCAAAGGGTTCAATAAGAGACATCCCACAGGAGAGGTTCCAATAAGGTTCAAGGTGAGAATTTCAGTTAGATTTAGTTCCTAAGTAAAAAAGTTTCAATTAAGGAGGTTCCAAAGCAGAGGTTCCATAATAGGTTCGACCAGTAAGAGGGGTTCCACAAGAGGTTCAAGAACACATAAGGTTAAATAATGGTAATATTTACATTTTTATCTGTGTTAAGTTAATGTTATAATATTTTGAACGCTGTTGAGGTGAGATAAATTATATTATCCTTTTTTTCTGGAGGGAGATGGTGAGGGAGTAAGGGTGAGTGAGGGAGATGGTGAGGGAGTAAGGGTGAAAGTGAGTGAGGGAGATGGCGAGGGAGTAAGGGTGAAGGTGAGTGAGGGAGATGGTGAGGGATGGTTAGGGTGATGGTGAGGGAGAATGAAGGAGATGGTGAGGAAAAGAGGAAAAATTATATTGATGAAAATGACAATGACAGTGGAGGTACAATAACACGTCTACCCTCCAGATGTACTTCACTAGGCGTTACCTCACACCTCCGTCACCCTCACTCCTCAGAGACCGCCTCATGACGCCAATTTATCACCAAAATAGAGATAAAAAAAATCGGTAAGTGGCAACCAGAGGAACAATAACTACCCCAATTACTGACCCAATTACTACTGTCTCTGGGGAGGTGGGTAACGGGAACCTATTTAAGGAAAAACATTTAAGGGATCAAGTTTAGGAATCTTTTAAGGTTGGTTTAGATACGAGGTTTATTTTTAGGTAATACTTTAAAAAAATATAAACATTCAGGTATGGTTTTAAAGTATTCTGGAGTCTATAAGAATGTTCTTTCGGTGTTTTAAGACTCTCAGTGATGTTTAGTGTTTATTTGTTATTGTTTTTTTATGACGAGGAATGTTTAGCTGTGTCAGTCAATCAGTCAGTCAGTTTGTTTGTTGAGACTCCAGGGGTGACGTCTACAACAACACCAAGATTATGTAGATGTGGGGGAAGAGGATTCAGGTACCCGAACCATAACAAAAACACCACCGCCAGTACGAGCAATCACAAGCGTCTGGCGTTACCTTCTACACCCACAACGAGGGAGAGGAGGTTTGTTGCGAGTCTTTTGCCAGTACTGGAGGGGGTGTTCACCATATGGAGGGGGCGGGGGGGGGACAACGAGGAGAGGGGGAAGGTTCAGGAAATGATACTGGGGTGGAAAATATAAATTACGCCGCCAAAGTTAACACAGAGGGGGTGATAAGGACGGCGGGGGGTCATCCTAGGTCGAGGGGTGGAGAGGAGGGGGAGGGAGAGCACCATCAGGGTCATACAAAGGTCACGAGGTCACGGTGGTGTGGTGGACTCTGAGATCCAGGGTTTAAAATAGGGATACTGTAGTGGGGACGGGGGAGGGGGGCAGACGGCGTGCAGAGAGTCACAGAAACACGAAGGCGGGTCATGGAAGTCTCGGGGAGTGGGAAGCGAAGGTCGAAAATTCCTGAAAAAAGTACAGAAAGGAATCCATCACGACAGAGGAACATAAGACCCAAGAAACCCAAAGGTGAGGAAAAGTTGTCTAGACGCGAGACCACAAAGATCTTCTCGCCTCGGCTACAAGTCTTCATCACACACGCTGACTGGAGGACAACTCGTCGGTGTGTCAACTCCGACCAGTGAACATCACACACAAACACAGAGAACGTGACACTGCATCCAGATCATAAGCTGGGGGTGGCAGTAAGGGAGTCGTCTGGATCCTTGAGGGGGACGTCGGAAGGCAAAGAAGGGGAGGAGGTGATGTATAATCATAGACGTACGATAGGGTGCAGCAGGGGGGGGGGGCAATACGGAGGGTGGGGACAGGGGGACGAGTTCGACGAAGTTATCTAAAGTTGTATGAGGTTTGTTCTCTAGTGGAGGGGAGGAGGGGTAGTGGAGTGGGGTAGGGGGAACAAACGTGAAGCATTAGTAGTTAAAGAAAAGAAAAACGATGACCATATAACCGTCATCACGATGCAGGAGTGTCAAGTGTTAAGAGTGCGTGAAAGCATCTGGTGGTAGTTTAGAACCGTTCATGAGGGCGATGGTCAAGCCTTAGTTAACGGTGGAGGAGGAGGAGATAAAACAAGGATAAATTCTAAAACAAAAAAGATCACTACAATGTCCATGCACAACTCTACACTTCCGGTGCCGAAGCCTCAGCGAGTGCCAGAGGACAGTGCCACAGGTGCCAGGCGAGTGACCCTCACCGATTTAGTTGTGGGAGGGGGTCGGCGAACGGTTGGGCCATTGCGGGGAGCTCCTAAAGTTTGTGAACAACAAAATTATGTGAGTCTTCCTGCTTCCTGTATGTGAAGGGAGGGGCAAGGGGAGCAAGAAGGACAAGGAGAAGAAAAGTGGGAGAGAGAATGGGAGAATGTCTAGAGAAAAAGATATAGAGGAGAGATAAAGAAAGTGACAGCGAGAAGAAAGAAAAACACGGAAGAATAAATACATAACAGAAAGAGATGAAATTCAGACGGAGAAAGAGAAGAGGAGGAGAGAGGAGCAGGAGGGCACGAGAGGCTCTACAGGCCAGGGAAGGTTTGGTCAGAGTATAAATCATAGTATGTTTTAACAATACACTCAACTCAGTCAACACCCCGGGACACAGGCGGAGGATAAATACACTGCTCTGTACACCCTCTGGCCCTCCTTCCTCTTCAACTAATCATCAAGGGCGTATACTAACTCCTTCCTCCTCTAAAACAAGTTCCTCTACACCTAACTATCCAATTCACACCCAAATCTCGTCTCATTAACCTACAGAAACACACTTAGACAACACTAATCTAACTTTGGGTAAATTAAGTCCCAATCTCAATAGACCCCAAGTTCCCATAGACCCTCAACCTAATCATGGGGTCTATGTGGATTAGGGACTATTAGAATTAAGCCTTAACCCTGATAGTTACGTTGGGGAGGGAGGACTTGGGGGGGGGGGGTTGTTAGGACTGGGGGCTATCTGACTAGCCATCCACTTATCTGGTACTTCAGAAACTCAGGCAGTGACCTCTCGTCTTGCCAACACCATTATGATATTCAACCACACGCCACTACCACCACCACTTCCACCCTCTACCAGCACCACCTCTACCACCACCACCACCACCAAAACCTCTACCACCACTACCACCACCCCTACCACCCCCAGCACCCTCCTCCACACACCGGTTCTCTTCCTCCTTCACATTTCCCCGGGTCTCTGTACCTCAAGATGTCTCTCAACTTTAGGCAAATTCACCTTAGTGCTTCTCTCTCTCTCTCTCTCTCTCTCTCTCTCTCTCTCTCTCTCTCCAGCATTCAACACGTCAGACCATACAAGGAGACCATCCACTATATATGGTGTGTGAATGTAAGGCTATGGCTCCTAACCTAACCTAACCAAACCACAACCTAACCTAACTACAACCTAACCTAACCACAACCTAACCTAACCACAACCTTTTCCTCCGATTTCTCTCATACACTTTGAATTAGACGGAAACTTAGGAAAGGAAAAAAATGACTTACAAATATAGACAAATTATCTTAAGTCAAAAGGGAAAAAAATTAAATAATTGAGGAAAGAATTAAATATCTCAAAGAAAATAATTGTAATTGAAAAAAAAATAATAATTAAGATTTTCTATTGTAATTATAAATGAAGGTAATTAATTAGGTATAATTTTGAGATAGATTCTAATTATAATATATATTTAATTAGATAAATATACTTGCTTGACTTAAATAAAAAAACTTCATTAACTTAAATTACTTGATAAATCACTTAAAATTAACAACTTAATATTAATATAACTGTTACTTTAAATCACATAGGCCTATATTAACTCCACCAATTACATATATAAGCTTAATCTCATATCAATAACTTGTAATCAAATATCATAAATTAAATCACATATCAATAAATCACAAATATCTCAATAACACAAAGCATCACTCACCTCATTAAATTACTCATATAAATCACCTATAATTAAATAACTCAAGATTATTTATAAGTTATGTAATAAATAACCAAAATCAATCACGTTCATTAGGTATATCAAACCAGAGTAAAGTAAATAAAAAATCACACTCAATTAACCACTTCAATAACTCACCTAAATCACTCAGGTGTATTATTTATTAATCAACTCACACATGTTAAAAAAAATCACACTCAATTACCCACCTTTCTTGATTAACACGTTAAAAAATCACTTGCATAAATCACGTCAAAAATTCACTTAAATTAATCACTTTTAAGACACTAACTCAATTAAATAACTCACACCAACGTCAAAAAATCACTTAAATAACTCAGACCCTCTCAATCACAGCAGGATATTTAATTTCACTTTAAAACACGAAGCAGAGAATACATTTTACTCTGAATTGGCTTCAAGGTGACAATTACACACCGGGAATAGGTCAAAATTGGATGAAATGGGCTATAAATAGGTAGAAATGTAGGGAAAATTGGTCAAAATGGGATAAAAATGGGTAGAAATTGGGAAAATAGGTAGAAATGGGATTAAATTGGGTTAGAAATTGGACCAAATAGGTTGAAAAGGGATGGATAATAACGTTGGAATAGGTTAGAGTATAGAATGAGTAGAACGAGAAAATAGTTATTATTATTATTATTATTATTATTATTATTATTATTATTATTATTATTATTATTATTATTATTATTATATCTGAATGTTATTGTCATTATAGTACACACAGTTCCTACCGCCCATCACCCCCATCATCATCATCATCCCCGTCATCATCATCATCATCATCATCCCCGTCATCATTATCATCATCACCGACCACTACCAACACTCCCAGTGGTACTTAATCCCACTACCACCACCACTACCAGTACCACCACCACCAGTACCACCACTACTACCACCACCACTACCACCACCACCACTACCATCAACAACATTTTCACCACAATGACAACCATTATTATATCTTCTAACCAACACCATTATTCTCGCTTTCCTCCTACCCCCTCTCTCCTTCTTCCTCCTCCTCCTCCTCCTCCTCCTCCCTCCTTCTTCCTCCTCCCTCTCATCTACTCACACCCCACAACACGCAAAGTACTCTCCCTTCTCTCCTCCCTCCCAACTCATCCCTTCCTCCTCCCCTTCCCACCTCCCTTCCCTCCTCGGCCACTCTTTCTTGACCACCACCATACAGCATTTTATGTCGACTTGGTGTTTTGACAATAGGTCAAAATTAACATACAGGAACTATGGGTGAATTTGAGCGAGCGGGCGGGTATGGGGTGTGGAGGGAGGGGGGGTAATGGCCACTGGATGGGGTAACCAATGGATAGGTGATGGTGGATAGGGATGGATGGTGAATATAGGCAGGGTGGTGATATTGTTAAGAGAATGAAGAGGTAGGAAAGCAGTAACGTAATGGGCTTCAGTAGACGACATTGCTAATTGACATGCTAAGGAAAATGGGTAGGGAGAGTCTGATATGGGGGGAGATGGGTGGGGTGGGGGGGAGGGGGATGGGGGAGTGGGTGGGATGGGGGGGGAGGGGTGGGATGGGGGAGTGGGTGGGATGGGGGAGGGGTGGGATGGGGAGGGGGGTGGATGGGGGGAGGGTGGGGTGGGGGAGGGGTGGGGTGGGGGAGTGGGTGGATGGGGGGAGGGGGATGGGGGGGGGAGGGGGTGGGATGGGGGGAGGGGTGATGGGGGGAGGGTGGGATGGGGGAGGGGTGGGATGGGGGAGGGGTGGGATGGGGGAGGGTGGGGTGGGGAGGTGGGATGTAAAGGGGTGGGATGGGGGAGGGTGATGGGGGAGGGGTGGATAGGCAAGGGTGCTAGGGGAACGCTATGGAAGGAATGGAGACTGAAATGTGGGGGGAATATATATGCTGTGGTGATGGAGAATGGGGAGGGGGTGGATAGAGACGAGAGTATGATGATAGGAGATGGTGATGGAGACGGAGGGATGGGGAGGAGAAGGAGGGGGGGGTGGGTACGGATAGGAGAGAGATGGGGGAAATAGGGAGGTGATAGAGGGGATGGGGAGGTATAAGAAGGAGATAGGGAGGGATAGAGGGGAGAGGGCTAGGAATAGGGAGGAGGATAGGGAAAGGATGTGGTAGGGGGTGGGGGAGGATGTGGTGTGATTTTAGTAGGTGATAATGTATGGGTGGTGAGTCACCTCCTTGGGAAGCTGCCCCTTTGGGTGAATGGACTGACTAGGTCCTGCTGAATACCACTTAGGGGCTGCTGGGGGCTAGGCTGGGGTCTGCTAGGGTTATAGGGGATGGGGGCTATTGGCTTCTTGGAAATTGGAGTTTCTGGGGGTGTAGAAGTTAGTGGGGTCTTGGGGCTGGTGAGGTGAGGGGGCTGATAGGGTTTGCCATTGGTTATTAGGGAAGGAATCTCTCTCTCTCTCTCTCTCTCTCTCTGGTATTCATTTATTCCATCTCCCCTTCAGTTCATATTTTCCCTTAACTCCTCTGTCCCATTTTTATCCAGGAACTCTCTCTCTAATTCACCCTTCCCTCCTCCCTCTCCCTCATTAACCCACAAAAACAACACTAACCATCCTAACTACTGTACAACCACTGCTGCTGACGTCATCCTTCTCAGTCACGAAAGGGGTAAATGAATTAAGTGACATCATCATACTTCAGGGCATGATAAATATATTGATTTCATTATAGTTCGAAATATACTGAATATATCTATTTTATAAGGTATAATGAATGTATACCAAGTTATTCTAACCTTATAATTCTTTGATATATAATGAATGTATCTAATAATACTTCAGGAAATAATACTGAATAATTCTTCATGATATGTGATATAGATCTATAAAATAACATTCATTTTGTTATAATGTAAAACTTCCGAAAGAGGAAATTAAAAAAAAATCTAACTTTCCAGATTTAAAAAAATATCTTTTCAGTGTATTATTTCCCCACAGTAATTAATATCATTATTTTCTCTATATTCTTATTTTTATTATATAGACGCATCAATTAAATAATCCTCTTGGCCAATGAAAACCAACACGAGAGATATTAGCTTTAATCTGATTGGTCTATCTGCAACAGAATATATTTTTCAACCGGTATTAATAATATTTACTTATTTCTCCATAAATAGAGGCGTTGCAGACAGACTTGTTTTGGGTCGTTCATTAACTGATTAAAATATATTCGGATAAAATGACCATATTACACACACACACACACACACACACACACACACACACACACACACACACACACACACACACACA